TTTTTTTTCGGGGGGGGGGGGGATTTCCTGTAAATTCTCATAGGCAGAGGGTACTGGGCCATGGTGGAAGGGACGATATCCCCCCCAAAAAAGGACTTTATCATTTATTTCGGCACCGTAGCCCACCTGCGTGGGAGTTCCCTGTTTTTCAAAACCCAGGCAGCTCAGAGCAGCAGTAGCCTTAGGGATGTACTTCTGCTCCATTACAGTAAGCAGGAGGGGTACACAATGATGCAGGAGGGGTACACACTGGTGCAGGAGGGGTACACACTGGTGCAGGAGGGGTACACACTGGTGCAGGAGGGGGTACATACTGATGCAGGAGGTCAGATAGAAGACTGAAGGAGAGGGCGGAGGTCAGATAGAAGACTGAAGGGAAGGCTGGAGGTCAGATATAAGACTGAAGCGAAAGCCGGAGGTCAGATATAAGACTGAAGGGAATGCCGGAGGTCAGATATAAGACTGAAGGGAAGGATGGAGGTCAGATATAAGACTGAAGGGAAGGACAGAGGTCAGATATAAGACTGAAGGGAAGGACAGAGGTCAAATAGAAGCATGAAGGGAAGGACGGAGGTCAGAGAGAAGACTGAAGGGAAGGACGGAGGTCAGATAGAAGACTGAAGGGAAGGACGGAGGTCAGATAGAAGACTGAAGGGAAGGACGGAGGTCAGATAGAAGACTGAAGGGAAGGACGGAGGTCAGATAGAAGACTGAAGGGAAGGACGGAGGTCAGATAAAAGACTGAAGGGAAGGACAGAGGTCAGATAGAAGACTGAAGGGAAGGGCGGACGTCAGATATAAGACTGAAGGGAAGGACGGAGGTCAGATAGAAGACTGAAGGGAAGGACGGAGGTCAGATAAAAGACTGAAGGGAAGGACAGAGGTCATATTTACCGCAGGTTCTGAATTGAATTCTACAACGGTCTGTGGTGACAGGTACTCTTAGAACAATACAAGGTCACGCATGTGGCTCAGGCTCGGTCTGAACATGCAAATTCAGATGAAATAAACAGTCTGGTGTTCTCCCTGTAATATAATTTCCTTTGGCAGACACATCTTTTTATATGTAACGTCTGGAGCAGATCTTCTATTATACTTGTCTATTTGGCAGAAGATTTCTGCAGACTTGCTCTACATTTCTATCAGACGCGCCTGCTGCATCGCCTCCTTGTGCCAGCCCCGTGTCCACATCACTGCCCCCCATCTATGGGATGTAAATATTCTCCCTCATCTGAGAAGTACAATTGCTATGAGAGAAACCCAAGCATGGTGATAGGATGAGAGTGGCCGAGATATGAGCTCATCACTGTGCTCCTTCTCCTTTCACTGTCCAGTCACAAGCTGGGGGCGGGTCCGAGACCTGTCGTATAAGAAATGTCACCAGCACGCCAAAGCCCTTTAAGGATCACCAAGTGTTCATTTATTCAGAACCATGGTTTCATGAAATGGTTCTGATTAAATGAACACTTGGGGATCCTTAAAGGGCTTTGGTGTGCTGGTGACATTTCTCATATGATTTCTGCCATCCGC